GAGTGACACGTCATTGTTTCATAACTCAGTTTTACTGTATAAAACAATAGATATTTCTCCAAAAATTAGTCAAATGCAAAAACTTCTATGTACACATTACTACTATTACATATAACTCCGTATTTATTAAAATAATAAAAGATCAATGATGTGTACTAGTGTAGTACAATCGGACTATGCACGTAGTTTAGGCAGTGTTTTCCATTGCTTTTAAAGCACTTTTCAGCTTTTCCATTGAAAAAGCTATAAAATGTGCTTGCAAAGATAAGAGCATGTTTACTAATAGAGATATTTTCCAGTTTTTCAGAAAACTTGAAAACAAAAAACAGGAAACGTGTTTACCAAAGAAAATGCTGGAAAACTGGAGAAAGAAAAACAGAAAAACACGTTTACCAAATCGTTTTCCAAAACGAAAAAGATGAGACATGTCTCTCTTTTCCTTAATGATTTGGAGAAGTGACTTTTACTAGTTTTCCAAATTTGGAAAACGCAGATGCTACAGTGCCGCTGCAATGAATTTGCATACTTACACCTAGTGTTGGGTCGGGTCCCGCTCCGATGTCGATTCGATTCTGGTACATCCATCCTTGTACCTTACCCCTTACTCATACCCTACCATACGACCCAACCCCCACCCCACGTACCCCTTTTCCCTACAATGACCCTACCCCACCCCCTCCACATGCCCCTACCTCGCCCCCACCCGATCCACCCTACCATACCGCCACCCCCTACCACCTCGACCCCAACCCACCTTACCCTACCCCACCCCCTCGTATATTACCCCTTACCCCTTACCACATGCCCCTACCTCGGCCCCACCCCACCGCCATCCTACCCCCACCCTCGTATCACCATCCTACCCCCCACCCTACCGCCATCCTATCCCAACTCCCTACCCTACCTTACCCCAATCTCAAACCCTACCTACTACCCCCACCCTTACCGCCATCCTATCCCCACCGCCATCCTACCCCCCACCCTATCCCTCCCCTACCTTGGCCCACCCTGGTCCCCGGCCCCACCCTACCGCCATCCTATCCCAACTCCCTACCCTACCCCTACCTTACCCCAACCCTTACCCACTACCCCCCGCCCCTTACCCCTAACCACGACCCTAACCCACCCACTACCCCCACCCAACCGCCTACCCCTAGACCTTACCACCCCACCCCCGACCATGCCCATTACCCCACCCCCATCCATTCCCTACCCCCACCCCTACAAGTAGGTATGAGTGGGTATGAAGGGGTTGTAGGGGAGTATGTGCAGAGTGTAAGATCGTGGTAAGGGTAGGGGTAGGGCCAGGGGTCAAGGGTGTGGAATTGGGTGTAGGATGTAGGGTGGGCATAGCCGGTGCTAGGGGGAGGGCAGTAGGGGCGACCGCCCTAGGCCCGAAAAAGAGTCGAAAGAAAATTAGGCCCAAGTTTGTTTTCTTTATATGTAATCTGAGTATGCTTCTTTTTTATTTATAACTTCAATTAATTAATTAGATCTAATGTGCAATTTTTGTTGACAATTTGGGAGTTTTAAAACATAAGTAAAAAGTCTTGAACAAAGCTAGAAAAGTTTTAAAAAAGAATTTAATTTTAGTTTAGATTTTTAAGTAGAATTTGGTTGTAAGTCAACACATTTGTTGTTGAATCAATAAAAGTACGTCTCTTCACATCTTTTTAGTCTTTAAGATTTATTATTCTTTTAATTACAAAATTACCAATATAATTCATATTATTGTCTTTGGGTGCCGGTGCCTCCCAATTCTCAAACATCATCCAATTATCTATTATGCCTCAAAAACTTAATGGATTAGCAATTTTAAACATTGCACATATGATCTTGGAAAAGATTGATTATAAGGCAATTATTTATGATTTTACCTCACAATATTCTTTTGTGATACTTGTGTTGTTATTTTGTCCAAATATGCAATTCAAATCATATGAAGGAGAATTTCATCTTTATTTATAACCTTTATTAGATGGTTGTAGGGAGAATTCCTGAAAGAGTAATTTTCTTTGGAATTTCAAAATAGGACTGTCATGTGTTTAATTTCTGAATAGGAGTAGTTACTGTCATGTTCGGAAAATACTACCATGTGTAAAATATGATACTGCCAAAATATGACATTAATTACTTCTAATTAGAGAATAAAAACACGATAATCTTAATTTGGAAAATACAAACGTTTTTAGCCATATTTAGAGTAATTTCTCCCAGTTTTATTAGTCCGTAATTTTTACTTTAAGTAAGTATGATAGTATAATTTACTGTTTGCCTTGAAAATAAGGCCAAAATAGTATATCGCCCATAGGCCCAAAACTGGACAGGACCGGCCATGAGGGTGGGGGTATGAGGTATAGGCTAGGGGTTAGGGGTATGGGTACACGTACGAGGTGATCGACCCCACATATTATATTATATATTAGTGTTCATGAATGTTTGTGTGTCTATATATGTATAAGGTTATTTTGGACATTTTAATGTTAAACGGTGTTTTAAACCTTTTGAAGTAAACATGATTTTACAACATTGCTTATTTTATGCGCCGCTTATTAACGCGAGTCTTAATAAACACCATTTAGTAACCCGTGAAGTAAACATGTCCTCAGTCTTCTGGATGATCACAGAACTGAGCGAAAAAATTGATGAACATGTTTTCAGATTTGAAAATGGAAAACTAAAAAATAGAAATAGAAATTGGAGATACAAAAACTGTAAAATAAAAATAGAAAATTGGAGAACGAAAAACAGAAGTAGAAAATAGGAAAATATCTCTCTTCGGGCTCTAATTTTCTGCTTATTTTGAAGTGTTTTTAGGCTAAAAGGTGAAGGAGTCATATTCATACTTTTAGTTGCTTTTACGTAATTTTGTAAATAGGTTGAAGTTTGGGGAATAATCTTAATATCTTATGGCTCGTTTTCAATTCATGTCTGAACTTACCCCTTTCGATCTTCTCTGTTGTCTCTATCGATCTCCTCAAGCATCCCGTCGATCTTCTGAAGTTTGATGAAGCCAATTCTCGATCTTATATTTTAGTTTTTGTATAGATTTGATTTATATTTTAGTTTTTCTATGCATTTGATTTCATAAGTTTTAGTTTTTATTATATCACTTGGTTTCCTAATGGTTATTGCAATTACCCAGAACGTCACTAACCACTGTAATACATACATATATGTTGATCCACACACACGTACACAAAGTATAAGGCAAGTGATGTAGACATTATATTGCGGTGAAGCTCTTTTGCACTGAAGTAGTGAAGTTGCAATAAAATACTTCAGTAAAAGAAGGTAGACATGGTGGTGAAGCTCCACACTGTCAAGATGGACAAGCCATTTTATTTGGCACTGCACCCTCACCGCGCTAGAGAAATCATCCTTCCACATCTAGTTTTCAAACTAGTCAAACCATCGTAGGATATAACCAGATTTGCACATACGAGGATTCAATGGAGGAGAATTGACAAAAGGTGGATATTTTGTTGTAAATTTACAGTAAAGTCGTAAGGGTGATTTTGTAATTTATCAAAATATTATATCACAAATCATTTTTTTAATCAAATACTTAAACTTTTACCTTTTAATCTCACCTTAAACTGGTTTTCTCATAATAATCTCATTTTTACTTAATCCCAGAATAATCCCACATTTGCACCTCATCTTCTTTCATTGGACCCTTTCTTTGAAAATCTTATATAAACAAGGGAAAAGGTGTAAATAGGCCCATGTACTAACCAAAAAAGGTCAAATAAGCCATTATTTAGGAGGCTCTGTCCAGACGTCACCATTTGGGATGGTTCCCGGTGGAATTTTTTGATGAAAATTTTTGAGCATCTTATTTATGAAGTCTAGTTTACGCATACCAAATTTCAGCTAAAACTTCAATCAGGAAGACATTCAAATGAATTCTTCAAGATAACTGTGCAGTTAAAAGCGCAGTTATCTTCAAGAATTCATTTGAATGCCTTCCCGATTGAAATTTTAGCTGAAATTTGATATGCGTAAACTAAACTTCATAAATAAGATGCTCAAAAAAATTCATCAAAAAATTCCATCGGGAACCACAATGGTGACGTCCGGACAGAGTCTCTTAAATAAGGGCTTATTTGACCTTTTTTTGTTAGTACATGGGCCTATTTGCACATGTTCGCACCTTTGTAGGTCATCAATAGGTCTGGGTCCAATGAAAGAATATGAGAAACAAATGTGTGGTGATTTAAAGGTGAGATTATTATGAGAAGACCAGTGAAATTTGAGATTATTCTTGTAAATTTTTCCTAATTAAAATCACTCCTACTCACAAATAACATAGGGAAAATGGAAACTAATAATCCAACCTTTTAGTGGTCTTCTTTTAATAGTCCGACCTTTTCGTTATTCATGAATAATCCAACTTTTGCATCTCATCTTCATTCATTGGTCCCCGACCGGTTGATGACCTGCTATTCTGAGTTATTTTCTTATCTCTGCAAACTATTATACCATAAATTCCACCTTTCACAAAGATAATATTTTGCAAAGATAAGAAAATAACTTGGAATAGCAGGTCATCAACCGGTCAGGGACCAGTGAATGAAGATGAGGTGCAAAGGTTGGATTATTCATGAATAACGAAAAGGTGGGACTGTTAAAAGAAGACCGCTAAAAGGTTGGATTATTAGTTTCCATTTTCCCAATACCATATACTTATACTATAAATCACTTTTTTAATAATCTATTAAAAAATCAAACTAAGGATGTTTTCTTTTGGACTGAAATTTACTGGTCTGGTCTGTTTAAGTCTGGTCTGGTCTGGTCTGGTCTCTGTGTATTTTATAACTACGGAGGTCTGGTCTGGTCTGTTTAAGTTTGATCTGGTCTGATTAAGTCTGATCTGGTCTGATTAAGTCTGATCTGGTTTGGTGTGGGACTAAAAACAATAAAAAAAACATCCTAGAAAGCGCACGTAAGAGGACATATTTGTCCGATCTTGAAACAAAAGGGGTGCGTCCATTTGAAGGCGCCCGGAGATGAGCCGAAGGAGACTTCTTCAATCCATTCACCTCTGGGCCGACGTGAGTAAGTTTTCAATCCATCCCGCTCTTGCAAATCTAAGCTGCCGCAGTCAAATCTGTTAGTTTCACAGAAACCAGCAGGTTCATAACATCCACACATCCACTCAGGGTCGCTTGATCACTTTTCACCGACTCAATTCTCAGTTTCATGCTATAGGGCTGGGGTTTTTGTCAGATTTGTTCGGTGAGAGGTATGGTGCTCATGAATTTCCTCATAGAAGTGTGCATTTGATTTGGGTATATGGTTGGATATAAGAGCCTACATTCTTCAGACTACCTGATTTGTGGTTCCTCTAGTAGCGGGATTTCTATTCATTTCTCTTGTTCATATTTCAATTCAGATTGATCTATTGTCTTTCCTGTAATAGAATATTGGGGAAACGTATATACATCAGAGATAAGTGATTGGTCTGAGTGTTTGAGATTGAAGTGGGATTAGGGTTCCTTTTGAAATGGGGAAACCACTGTTTTATGAGATAATTGAGAAGCCAGCTACAAGTTGTATTATAGCTATATGCAGTGCAATCTGGCTGTATATACAGAAGAAAAACATTGGGTATTCTCATGTGGGGTTGAGTTACGAGACTGCTCTGGAAGGCCATCACTGGAGGATAATAACATCTGCATTTTCACACATTAGTGTGCTTCATCTTGTTTTCAACATGAGTGCTCTTTGGAGCTTAGGAGTTGTTGAGAAGTTAGGGAATTTAGGTCTTGGAGTGGAGTATTACCTGCATTATACTCTGGTTTTGGTCATTCTGTCTGGTATACTAGTCTTGGGGATGTATCATGTTCTCATTCAGAGGTTTAAGTTTGAATATTTTCGAAGAGTGACTGCTGTGGGATATTCGTGTGTGGTTTTTGGGTGGATGACTATTCTGTCTGTTAAGCAACCTTCATCAAAATTGGATCTTTTTGGGTTTCTTTCGCTTCCCATAAGTTTTGCACCATTTGAGTCGCTCATCTTAACCTCCATCATTGTTCCTCAAGCAAGTTTTCTCGGCCACTTATCTGGAATCGTTGTTGGTTATTCAATTGCCTGGGGCCTGATTCATGGCATGAACAATTATTGGGCAATTACAATGCTGGGGTGGATAATAGTTGTGTTTGCTTTCAGTTTGAAGAAATCTGGTGCGATAGATTTCGACTTTCTTGAGGTTGAGACCATCACTGACAATTCGTTGCCTTCTGTGCGCTTCCTTGCTGCTGGTAATGGGAGAACTTTACAAATGGCTGCATTACCAGATGTTGGCCCTGGTCTTGTATAGCCACTGTTTACTTATTTTTCACGTTGCGGGATATAGTTAAGAATTGCATTGTACTTATTTGATGTATGCATATGTATTGGGTGTTATGTATGTTGAAAGGTTTATATTTTGAAGTATTATAATTCTTAAAAAGAAAAATAAGGATGACACCCCATCCCTGAGGGCCCCCCAACACCGATCGGACGGCACGATGGGTGGATGTAAATTGGACTATAATCACAATCTGACAGATAGAGAGTGGACTATTAAGTATTATTATTCTTATATCACATAGCATTGAGTTTCTCCCTGACATAACCCTCCCTTTCTCTGTGTTAGTTTACCCCTACTCTAAAATGTATTAAGCAGCAGACTAGTGACTGGTGTATGCTTGGCTTATGAGAGACAGGTGGAACTAGACATAAGAATCTTTGCAACATTTGTAGATCACAAAATTGTATGTTCCTCCACCATGCCATCATATTGCTTGTTGCTAATCAAGAGCCACTTTGAATCAGCTTTAGAATGCGCTATACTGATTAGGCAATTGTATTTGAAATTCACTATGCATTTCCTTTCAATATATGTTTGTTTGGGAATCATAATGAATGAGATCCAACTAACCCCAACTTGCTTGGTCAGTTCGTTGGATGCCTTTGGAAGAAATGGGAGAGGAAAGTGGTGGGATATTATGTTTGTTTGGTGCAGAATAACACATAACTTGTTTCAGGTTAATTATTATTGGATGAAGCTGAAACCAAACCATTCTACATCATAGCAATACTTTGTGTTCATTTTTTCGCCCCAGTACATTGCAGCAAAACCGTCAAATTTGAAGCATTCCAGATGTAATAATCCCTACAAATTTTCTTGTTCATCGCATTTCTCTCCGCCTGCCAAACCTGCCCAATTCACTTTGTCGATCACCTTTTCATCTCAATCTCTTCAACGATCAAACATATACAATTTATGACTTCATCCATTCCATCTCATCTCAGAAACATACGTATGTGTTCCATCACTGGAAACACTACGTTTCCATCTCATCTCAGAAATGTAGTGTTTCCTTTTCATCTTTTCATCAACATAATCTAAATCAGGTAGCTCAGTTCCAGTTATGTCATGGACCTTTATTCTTAAATTAACGAATACTCGTAAGTATTGTACTCCAGATTATGCTTTTTATTTACCCATTACATCCCATCTAATCTCAAAATCATCAAAACTAAGGAATCCCATTAACCTCGAAGGGGGCATAGCACTCTGTCTCGACTTCTTCACCAACATTATCTTGACAAAGTCGATTGAATACTTTGCTTTAGTTTCCAGTTTTCTTACAGTTAGTTGATTTTTTTTAGTCTAGCTTATGTTTTAATTTAATAAGTTTTTTAGTTCATAAAAAATAAGATTGATGCTTTCCCTTTCCTTGGATAAGATGTTTCCCTAAGACGTTCATCATCATCATCATTTATCCTTCCTAATTCGAAGTTTCAGGAATTCACAATAGGGTAAAATTACCTCAACAGTCAACACGACACTCTTTTTATTAGCTCATCTGCAGACTAAAAATTGCATACTAGAGCCCATTTGGTGGCTCTCTTTTTCGACTTATCAGACTTGTCAATCAACTTTTTAATCAAACACGTAAATTTTGATTTCACGCACTGAATTGTGTAATAAAAAAAAAGTAAAGTTAAAGTTATTTTTCTGGCTGTATTGAATGAAGTTACTGTAGACATCATTTTAGCTATTGTTTCATATAATTTTTTTTATTGTATTAATAAAATATATTTTAAATATAATTTTTCATAAATCAACAAAATCAACCAATACAACCACTTCAGCCATAACTTCATAAATTTCAGTAGAATCAACCGATTCAGCCGATTTTAATGTTACCAAACGGGCTCTTATTTGTGCAATGGTGATGTTCACATTCTTTTCAAAGTTTGCCCTGAAGAGGAGTAAAATTGTTTGTGTATTCCAAAATAGGATTGTAAGTTTTTATTCCCTAAATAGAACTAATTACTGTCATGTTTTGGCAAAATTAAACATGACATTATTTTTCAAAATTGGCAGTAAAACTCCTATTTAGGGAATGTAAACATCACAGTCATATTTTGAAATTCCAAAACTTATTTACTTATATTTCAGGAATTTCCCCCATTCTTTTCTTTTTGTTTCTATCTACTCCGTATCATTCTGGCATACCTTATTACACAAAACGTTTGAGGCTTTACATTTCATTGCTTTTACATACGTATATATATAGTATATAAACTTCTTTCATCTCAGCATGGAAGCTGATGGATGACAAAATGCAACACCATAAATTCTTCATTTAATGTATTCAACCAGGAATCAAACTCGGGGACTGGGGTAAACAGGGATCAAACTCACTCCCAATGTTCTAAAAGGCGCTAGGCGCTAGTCGGGCGCCAACCCAGCGCCTAGCGCCTAGTCGGGTAGGCGGGCGCCTAGGCGGGGACTAATCGGAGACATCAAAATTGTAGTTTTATCAATACTTTTGCATAAATATGATTAGTAATGTTGTGTTTGTGTGTGTATAAAAAATATATACACACACATACACATTAACATGCATGAATGATAGAGTTATCGCATTTAATAATATATTATATCTACTCACTTATTCACTAGTAGCGTTCTTCACATGCATTGTCAAAGTTAAAGGTGCATATTTCTTAGGATACTAAAATAAAAAAGCAAAAACAAATTGTTCGATGAATCTAGACGCCTAGGCGGCCCATTAAGCGCTTTGGGCGGGCAACTAGGCGCCCTAGATGACCGATGAATTCACCTAGGCGCCGATTCAATTAGTCCGAGCGCCTAGACCAAAATCGGGGCGCCCGACCACCGCCTAGCGCCTAGGCGGGGACTAGTCGGGCGCATAGAGCGATTTTTAGAACAGTGCTCACTCCATTGAAGAACCCAAGACCTCCCGTAAGGTATTAGTTGTTAGAAGTTCATTCCTAATTATTATTAGCGGTTCGGTTTCTAATTCTCATAAAAAATGTGTTTGGAACAGTTAAGAAAATGTTATTACCACAACAATAAAAATAAAAGTTATAAAAGTAACAATAACATGATGATAATAAAAATATTAACAATAACAGTAATAACCACAAAAAACACAAGAATATCAAAACATCAACAATAATGATACAATCAATGATATTTAGTCAACAATTCAAATTTAACCAGCGGAAATAGAAATAATAAATATGGCACACGGGGTTGAATACACGAGGTTGATTTTATAAAAATCAAGTTTTGTTCTATCACAAAAAGTTTATAGACATAAAGTAATTCACATAATTTGTAGTTGATTGGATATATTATACTTAACTCTGGACAAAATATTTGTAATTACTAGATTTATCATAAATCATACTACTAGCTTGTTGACTGTAATGATGTTTTTATATTTATGCATGTGAATTACTGAATTCGTGTATTTTTAAATTTCAAAGGATGAAGAACAATTTTCATTGATTACCACATAGCAACATTTTTTTAGATTTTAATAAATAAATAAATAAGAATTGAAATATTCTTTTATACTATTAAGAATGTTTTTAGTTGGACTGTATTGGTCTGATCTGATCTGAACTAGTCGGTCTGGTAAGGTATGCTTTCTTTGTATTTTTATAACTATCCAAGTTTGATCTAGTCTGGTCTGTTCTGGTCTGATGTGATCTGAAACAGATTAAAGCACAAGTAAAAACATCCTAAGTGTCCACGTAATTATGTTTGAGTTTTGACGTTGAAGTGATTAGAAAGTAAGGATGTTTTTACTTGAACTGTAATTTAATGGTCTGGTCTAAATCGGTGTGGCCTGATTTGGTAAATGTTTGGTTTGTGTATTTTAGAAGTACAGAATTCTGGTGTGATATGGACCGAAAACGGTCAAGTATAAACAGTGTTCTAAAATACCCCAAAAGGCTCCGCCTAGGCGCGCATAGGCCCAAGGCACCACTAAGACACCCCGCATACCCATCATGCGTGGGAAAAGGCGGCCCACCAGAATTAATTTGTTATTATAAATATGAAAATAAATTTTTAATAACTATGCTTTCACGCCATTGTAGACAGAAGTATGTAAGAACGTGACGTGTTGGTTGTCAAGGCGCTGCCTGCATTCAGAAGCCAAGGAGTACGCCGTTCATATACTAAAATTCGTAGTAGTACGTCTACTTTACTTCCGGTGTGGGACTAACTAGTAGAATAAGGATGGAGTACTTCGACTCCAGACATTAACCCATAGAGATTTGCCTCAACCAACTTTTTGGACATGTAAATATGTGTATCCTTAATTCCTTATACCAATACCCTATAGGACGTAGATATGCTTTAGATTATTTTTATTGTTGTTAGAATTCTTATTATCTTTATTATTAGTATTGTACTTTATTTTAGGGAAAAGGGGCAAATAAGCCCTCGAACTAATCAAAAAAGTGCAAATAAGCCCTTTTATAGGAGGTTTCGTCTGGCCATCGTAATTTGGGGAGGTTCCCGGTGGAATTTCTTGATGAAAATTCTTGAGCATCTTATTCATTAAGTCTAGTTTAGTCATACCGAATTTCAGCTAAAAATTCAATCGGGAAGACAGTCAAATGAATTTTTGAAGATAACTGCGCAGTTAAACAACACAGTATATTTTCGAAAATCATTTGAGTGCCTTCCCGGTTTAATTTTTAGCTGAAATTTGGTATGGCTAAACTAGACTTGATGAAGAAGATGCTCAAAAAAATTCATCAAAAAATTCCACCGAGAACCTCCCCAAATGACGATGATCAGTCAGAACCTCATACAAAAGGGCTTATTTGCACTTTTTTGATTAGTTCGAGGGCTTATTTGCCCCTTTTCCCTTTATTTTATTGTTATCATTATCAATATCCTTTGATCACAATTGTAATTTTAAAGAGTTTTTCTAAAATATTACAGTAGAACTTTTGAATTGAATGACAAATATGATTGAAGTGAGCATAAATATATTCTTATATTCGCTATAATAACATTTTTAAAAGTAAGTATAATCACTAAAAGTTACTAAGTCACATTTTTAACTATTGTCTTTATTTTGGTCATATATGAGGTATTAGTTATTTTTATTGATTTTAATCTTTAATTTTATCATTAAACTGCTCTTTTCAATTCCATTTTTTGTGTAAATGGTAATTTTATACACCGTATTTGTTAGATTTAGGACTCCTACAAATCTTTTTTTGTTGAAAATAAGAAAGTATGATGTTTTGAATAAAATTATTTAATATTAAATTTAAATATGTAAAATAGCTCTAGGAAAACTAAAATAAAGGATAAAAAATCAAAACGTCTTTTCACGCCTAATCCTCGCCTAAGCCCGCCTAGGCTCCAGAGGCTTAAGGCTTGGTCATGCCGCCTCGGCACGCCTCACGCCTTTTAGAACACCGAGTATAATAAACATGCTAAAACAATGTGATAAATCCGATGCCGGTTCTTAAACCTCTGCGGCACCGCACAGTGCCTGGGCAGGAAGGATAGGAAGAGGGTTTGAGATGCGTGATTTTGCTCTTAGTGTGTTGCCTTCCTCCATAGCAAGAAGCACACATGCTATTACCCCTAATTGATAAGGTCGGTGAATTTATCTGAAGCTTTGATGAAATGCCGTTATGGAAGTCATGGAACCCAAGGAGAGAGAGAGATCCAAAATAGGAATTTTTATATGCATCACAAAATAGAATATTGTTTACACTCTTAGAACGGCTGTTTTCCGCGGCCTCGTTTTCCTTTCCCCCTCTTGGATTTGTTCTTCGTCTTCCTTTGCGGCTGCGGCTTCTCCTTACACTGATTAATCATCCTGCTCTCAGACGCCTCAGTCGTACTCATGTTATTACCCCAATAGTTCTTCTCACCTTCTTCTTCTTCAACTTCACTTGACTTGTGGTTTGCAGGTATATGGCCGTGTGAATCCACAAAAATAACAGCCCCACTCTCATTGGTCACAATGATTCTGCTAAACAAACCTTCCACCCTAGGCTTCCTACTCAGCAACCTCTTCTGCAGTTCCACAATGCTTTCGTGCCTTTCCTCATCTTCCATGTTACTGTAAAATAAACACATGAAAACTAACTGTTTAGTGCTTACAGTGTATCAGATCAATATATCATCAGTTTCACTGCGATGTATTTCAGATAAGATTGGGCATTATAGGCTGAATATTGCGGTGCTTTTTAGGTCAATAATCACTGAACCCCATAATAGCATGAATATAAAGAGAATTAGCAAATTGCTAGTTATTTAGTGCTTGAGTTATGCAGATGAGTACTTTTTGTCAGTTGTTTTAATCCTCTATTAGTGTATGTGTACATGAACTGACCTCATATCCAACTTATCAGACAATTCTTTAAGTTCTTGAAGCATGGTTTCCACTTCCTCACAAATATTTTCACCTTCCCCAGATGGAGCACCTTCCTTTCCCGACACATAATTAGCCACTGCAGCTGTGAACTTTATACACTCATCTAAATCCTCCTTTAAACCAAAAAATGAAACAAAAAACCTGAACTCAGCATTGCATATAGAATGGTACAACAGAAAAGAAAGGGTGGATTCCATAAAATATTCCATATCTTATTTACCTGTAGTTTTAGGGATGCAGACAATTCTTCCAAAACGCGCCATTTCATTCGCAACGAGCAGCTATCTTCACCCTTGAGCATGGACTTTTTGTTGACTGATGAAGATTCCATCACAGAACTCTTCATTCCATTGTCTACTGCACTACCCATCAGGGGAGTCAATGAACATGTGTTCTCCTTTATGACTTCATCTTCTTGCCTGGTAGAAGCAACATTGTTACTTTGCAACAACATTTTCGCGATGCTCTCCCTACTAGAACCCGCACCCAATCGTATGGGAATAACATCCAGAGGACACATAATTTTTGGACTAGTTTCGTCCAGGAACACAAGAATTGCTGGATTCCCTATAGTCAGGAGAGCTTCAGTGACTTTGTCTCTGTTAGAACAAGTTTGCCTGAAAACTTGAGAGAATTCTCTTGGCAGCTCAGATGAAATGTCATGTGTATTGAGTACACAATCAAGAACATACAAAGATTCCTCAGTAGTAGAGTTCATACAAAGTGAGCAGAGAATGACTACCAATCTCAAAACCAGTAACTTATGATAGTCATTGATGGATTTAATTTTATATTTCTCAATCCACCTTATTGTCTCAGGCCTCTTGAAGAGGAGTTCTTCCACAATGGTGAGGATGAACTTGTAAAACATATATATTTCACTGCGTGATAATTGAGTTAGGAAGCTGGGAATCACACGTGCACCTGGTTTCTGAAACATCAAGCACTCCAGAAAAGAGGATTTTGTGGCGTAGAAGAAGCCACTGCTAGAGCTAAATACCAGGAATAAAAGATGCTCTACAAGATACAAGAAACAGTGAGGCGAAATGTAGTCAAACATATTCTGCCAATCTGCTCCATATGTTTCTCTCAATGCTTCAAAAAACCCGTATACCAACTTGAATTCTTCTTCAATCTGACCAACAGGTAAAGTCTCTAAAGAATCGACTGACACTGACCCATTTAAGGGAACCTCGTCACTCTGCATTAAAATCTCAATGAAAGTTCTCCATGCTGAATCCTTCCTGATTCTATACAAAATTTTATTCAACAGTTCATCTGCAGGTTTGGCAGACCCAAACCATATCATCATCATCCGCCCGATTTGCCCAAGTGTAGTATCCTCACCTTTTCTACTTATAAGGTCATGTCTAATAAAATCTTCGAGTAAGCATCGGGAAACATCTGTCCCCCTTAGAGAAATCATGTGTTTGTCCATAGACTTCTGAAAATGAATAGGAAACACCTTTTCAAAGTACTTCATTGAGAGCTGGAAGAACTTTTGTAGTTTCCTCTCATAATTCTTGCAGTTCAACTCCTTTGACTCAAGAAGAAACTTTGAGATCTGATATATACTTATGAGGCACATGCTTTGACTAAAATCAGACGACGACTCCACGGAAAAGATATACAGTGATTCAAAAATCTCCAGAACCTTAACGCCTACATATATCATTTCATTTTGCCAATAATTCCGTGCAGCAGTTATGAAATGCTGTTCATCTATTGAGACCAAGTTTTTGCTCTGCCTCAAGTAATTCTGATAAAACCTTTTTATGACCCATTCAGCATCTGGTTTTAACAACTGGAGACTGCTGGCTTTCATATCAGTGAACCGTCGCCTCACACCAAAGTAGTTCAAGCAGAACTCTCCAAAACCTTTATATTTACCAAAATCTTGAGTCACCTCAAGACAGTTAAGAGACTCAAGAACCTCTAATACATTTTTCTTCCATAGATTCCAGAAATGACAGAGGGATCCGATGGAGAGTTGGTTAGCAAACATGGTATCATCTGTAAACTTCAGGTCAACAGGATAGTCATCTTCCCATGTATACTTTGAGGCTTTAACTTCACAGTGAGCATCAATGATCTTTCTGAGGCATAAAATTTCACATCGAAGATTCGCGCACTTCTGAGAATCACTTAAAGCACACCTCAACTCTGATAATTTGCATTGCTCGTGCTCTAACACTTTTGCCTCAGTGCAAACAGATTCATAGAAAAGATCAGATTCGTTCCTTGCAAGAGAAATGGCCTTCTTCAAGAGTTCCTTCTTAGACGTAAAGGACTTCAGGGGCCATGGCTCGCATCCACAAACCCACAAAGAGTTTGCCAACACATACCAAAGGATGTGTGAAGATGCTTTGCTGAAATTCCCAGCTTTGCCAAGAAGTTCTGCTTCTAGTAAGACATCTCCTTTCAGATTCGCTAGTTCTGCAGCTTCAGCAAAGTGTCCAGATTCTTCTTCTAACAGTAACAACTCATCTAGACACTGTATACTCCTCAGGAACTTACGCTTATCATCCATCGACTTAAAAGCTCTAACAAACTTCATCATTGATTTCTTATCATCACACTTCAAGTAGCTAGATGCAGACATAGCAAGAAATTCCTGTGCTATTCTGTCTATTTCATCCCATGTTATATCCATACCATTATACTTGACAGCATGCTTTTCCCATTGTTCTATATATTGTAATCCATGGTCATACAGACGTCCCTTCCTGCAAACTGATAGACAATTCGTGAAACAGTTTTGCTTTGCATATATGTCTGCTGCATCCTTATAATTTCCTGCCAATGTAAAAAGCTCCGCAGCTGTTTTCTGTTCTCCACACTTCAAATAATTATTCCCTGTAGCATTAGATAAAAATTAACATTGACCACTACAATTCATATTATATATTTTAGGCATCAATGTTGATAGAAAACTGAAAAACATAGCTTCAGAGTGCTTTATGTTTCATGTATTTCTTGTAGTAGATTAATGGTAACCTTATAATAAACTTTGATAGAATTAGCATACAACGTTTCATGCATTTCTTGTAGTAGATTAATGGTGATCTTATGAACTTTGAGAGAATAAGCATACAAAATATGCAACAATAGTAAACTTCAATACCTGCAAGCACATACTCTTTTAAGTCAAAAAAACATTGACCTGCAGACTTGAAATTTCGAATTGACTCAAATATTTCAGCAGCCTCCCTCAAATAGGTAGAAGACACTGTTGGATTTGAATCCCGTTTGCGATCAGCAGCTTCCCTTAGACGTGAAGCTTTAGCCTGCTTCTCAAGGTCTCTTTCTCCTGCCCTTTGAAAACACATAATCGCCATTTCATAGTTTTTCTCCCGAAGGAGCTGCAAAATAACATAACTTCCCTAAGGTTAGAATCCTGTCATTTGACATCAGCCATGGTAGATTAGCTAGACAAGAAATAAAGAAAGATCAACTAACTTTTAATCCCCTTGATTTCCACTGGTCTGGAGTGCTAGCCATGCGCATAGCTTGTGCAAGGGATTCATCAACATCCCGTGCTTCCACAAGGCCCATTGTAATCCAATAGTCAAACATTGGTTTTGAAAACTCCTCAACGCTTTCGCAGATCCATAATCTTTGGCGTGTCCGAGTTATAGCCACATATAATTGCTTCAATTCAGAGCACAAAATAGTGTGCTTTGTTTCAGAAAAGCGAGGGAAGCTCAAAAGTCTTGTTTCAACCAGTTCTGGTCGTTTTGAAATCATAAATTCGTAAACTATTCTCCACTGGTTTCTAAGTGGTGAAGAACCAAAGAAGTCATAAAGCAGTACATCCTGCAAAAAAAGATATGCTCAGAGTCTCAGACAATCACGGCAGGACATAGCATCGTAAAATATCTTTAAAATATCTCACAAAAAAAATCAGTTTATCACACTTGCCTGGAACTCTAATCCTTTGCATTCAACAATAGTTAGAATAAGCGCTTGTTTTCCAATGAGATTTGAAACTTCTTTTTTAGCAGAGTCATCACGTACTAATATCACTTGGTCAGCACCAAAGCCTACCATTTTCCTGCTAACGTTGCCACTCTTACCAAAGATACTTACAATAGCATTTTCATTGCTCCCATGCCCAAGTAACATAGGAGCCTCACCATCTATAAGACTAGTCTCTGGTGGCAAAGTATCAATTGATAGAGGGAAATAGTGAGAAATAATATCAACCACACTCTGGGCAAGCCTGAGAACACCAGCATGTGTTCTAAAATTATGCAGTAAACAGAACACTTTGGCAAGATGGCCTTTATCTTTTCTTCTGGCATCTGAACCGAGTTTCTTTTTCATGACAAACTCCTCATAGAACAAAGTTCGGATATCTTCAAACCTAAAATCAATCCCCCTAGCAATTGTTTGGGCCGTATCACCAGAAAATACAAAGCCCTCATCAACATTTTCACACACATACTTGAATAGTAATATTTGCCTCATGGTGAGGTCTTGAACTTCATCAATATACACAAAATCCATTTTGTCACCTTCCCATTTTTCTTCATTCAACCGAAAATGAAGATCATTCACTAAATCAGCAAAGTCAAAATCACCTCGCTTCCTCTTCATTTTCTCATAATCAAGAAAGATGTCATAAATTTGCTCTCTTCTGTTCTCATCCAAAGTTGACACCCTACTGTCAGACAATGAAATATATTTGTCACGACTGAGTTTTGCATCATGGGCCTTACCCACTCTTAATCCTCCTTTTATATGTGAAAAGATTTCAGTGTACACTTTTGCAGCATCAAGATTCTTCGTCCATTGGGTGTTGAAATGAGGCCAATACAAGGTACGAAAGCGGTCAAAGTTTACCTCTCTTGTTCTGATGAAAGCTTCTATTGTGACTGACCTTGACATAGTATCCTGAGAAAATGAGTGTTTGCATTGGAGGCGGTCAAAGTATGAAGACCCCAGTGTGCCATCAAGCATCATCAAGAACTTGCGAAATGTAAGTACCAGTGGATATTTTGTTTTTGGAATGCCAACAAAAGAATTTGGAATGTCTTTTAAATGAAATAATCCATCCAAATCGTCCATCATATCCAATAACCCGTTGTCACCAGAGAATTTCTCCCCTTGAGCAAAGCTGCAGGGAAGAAAAAGGCTTAGTTACAAAGGAACATCTTTGACCATAATATGTCTCCCTATATAAGGCAAATGATGTTATCATACTTGATGGTTGTTAATGTACTTCATGTGCTCATAATCCTTTACTTTCTTTGTCCCAAAAGAGTTGTCTTGTAGATGCGCATTTTAATTATATACTAATATACTCCCTATGCAGGTAAAGTAACTCTTCTCTTTTCCCACAAAAGTGCATATTTAACGTATCAACTTCTACTATAAGGTAATCTACTAAAAGTGTAATATAGGAGAATTGAATGGTTTATATTACTTGTTTTAGGTAAGTGAATACCGTTTAACCAATCACAAGACCTAGCAATTCAATCACGCCTTTTGACTTCATTAATGTATCCAATGCATGACACTGAGTTGAGTTGTTGACAAACAATATGATGTAAACAGATCATATGATCTAATAAGAAACTAAATCAGATTATTCAGGCTCACCGTTTCAGATGAGAAACTTGTTGTTTGACTGCATTGCACAGCTTCGAACTAACTGTCACAAACAGCTGCCTTAAGGTAGTAGTCATCTTCTCCTTGTCATTTGTTTGACTCAATGCTGTAATCTCAGCCTTTGAAAAACTACTCTCTCCTCCATATTTGCTGATCACATTGATCTCATTTGACTCCTCTTTCATAACTCCCTCTACGGCAAGATGATGTCGTTGCTCCTTTTGAAATAATTTCATGGTCAGCACAGTAGTTTTTCCTGTGCCAGATCGCCCTAGTATGAAACTACTCCTTCCAAATTGGATTATTTCCCTTTCCTCATCAGAAACTTCAAAAGGGATATCAATTTCTTCACAAAGGTTACCAGAGAGCAAATGATTGACAATGCCAGATGATAAGGAGTAAAACTTCATCAAGAGTAAGCTTTCACTCACTCTTGAATTTTCAACAACACAGCATTTTGACTCATTATCGAGTCTCTCGCTGTGATTCTTGAACCTTTTCAGGATAAGAGAAGCTGGCCAGACTTTTGGAACTTCCAAGTCCCTGGGAAATAAATAAAAGCAATTTAACTAGACAAACTATCTTTCTTTGACGACCTTGGTGTAAACACTACATCCTCAATAATGGGATATGCAGGAATTGACATACCCGTCTAGGCATTTCTGCTTGCACAAATTGATAAATTCAACGGTATACATAGAGAATATGCTATCAAGGCGGTTCGATATTTTTTCAACCTCATGAATAGGTATCAAATCCCACGCCTTTAGAACTTGGGTGTATTTCACCACCTTCTGAATGTCAACTGTGCAGAGTATAAATAGTCCTTCAACATTGAACCGTTTCACAACCATAGGTGAGTTGCCACATGCCAAGTCCACACATTTTCTCTTGGGTCTCCATCCCCCAGCAAGCTTAAGTAAAAGCGTTAGCACAGCCTTCTTCAAATAGGATGACACCAATTTTTTGTATGATCTTTTGAAATTCTCGCTCAACAAAACCTTACAAAACCGGAAAGAGAAAAAAAACTGATCTCCAAAGTGGTATTCATATTACTAACAGCAACCTTAGGACACACAGTTCATGCTTAATCTAGAAGGGTAAGAAAAATCAATGTTTGACACTTTGACATAACATAGTGGGTGAAATATGTAAGAAGAATGTAAATTAAAAAATATATGTGCTTGGGTTAAATTGTTTAAAAATAGCTATTTAAAGTTGAATGGATTGTAATAACCAAAGATAGTTTAGGTAGAACAGTAAACAATGTATATAGGAAGGGTGTATCAATCAAAGGAGGTGTATTCATGAAAGGATTAATCAATGTGCATATTCCTACACTTAATTTAAAACCGAGGTAGAAGATTTAAAAGCTAAGAATTTTGTAAGCCGGATAGAAGTAGGATGAAGTAAGCAAATAATCTTACCTTCCACCTTTGATTTGTGAATAGGATGCTATCCGCATTAAGCAAGTCATCAAGTTGATCCAGTTCTGCCTTGACATCCAAAATGGTTTTTGACAGATCACTATCTTCGGCTGCAGAGAAGAAACACTGGCGTTCTTTTGCATCCAGCACTAATCCTTCCCAAAGTGAATTGCTATGAACAAGCGTCCTTTCATTTCCCAAAATCCATAAAGAGTGCCTTGATGAAATTAAACAGTAGAAATGGTAAAAAAAACACTTCCGGTACAACCACTCATACATGTGAGAAGATGAGAAGTTAAGAAGATTGCACCTACCGGGCTCTGGTCAGAGCAACATTAGTTATGTGCACATTCGACAGAAAACCGATCGTGCCAGCACAATTAGATCTCACAGTTGATAATATTATTATGTCTTCTTGGCCTCCTTGGAAACCGTTGACTGTCCTCACCTTAATTGCAAAGCCGGTATGGTTGTCATACTTTCTGCCAATATAATCTTTTATCGCAGCGACTTGAGCAGCATAATGAGATACTACACCGATTCTGATCTTCCTTCCAGAAGAACGCCAAACTGCATAAAAATGTTGTTAAAAAGAATTGTAAGAGCATTACATGAGAACTACACAAATTATGACATCTCAAGTGTGTTTAACATTATAAGCCAGTAAAATGGATACAAAACAGAATGTGAAACCATTTAATTCCATCTGGTTCACTTTGTTGAAGGTAAAAGTATGACCTGAAAGCAATCTAAACCGAATCGAGTCTCCTAATTTCATAACCGGCTAGGATGCAATTACGAGTGGGTGGGCAAGAAGAGAATGTATTTAATCAGTTTGTTAGAGCACCAGAATACAAGTATATCAACACACTGAAGAATCAAATGAGCAATCAAAAGCAAGCTCCAGACTCACATTTGAACAATTTCTGCACTATCTTGATTACTATAGCCACCTCAACCATATTCCTTCTGCTATGCCCAAAATCTTCCAATTCTTCTTTTCCACTGGGGACACTTATAAAAGAATATGGACCAAACATCCTTCCTTGAAGATATTGTCTCTCATAGGTTGTGCTTCTCACATTAGGTGCATCCTTGATTTGATTATTATAGAAGCTAAAATTTGGGAAGCAGCTTATTGCAGGATGCATTCTGTACTGAACATCAAGCATGAGCTTTGAATGACCCGAGGAACTTAGCCTTTCAAACAAGCTTTTTCCAAAACCAGCTTCATCGGACACCTATACATAGTTTTTTGGATGGAAGAAGGTATCCGGTTAGTACATGGTAGACACTACAACATTACTAAGATTTAGAAGAACGGAATACTCACTTTGCTATGAACAATAGCAGGTAATTGGCATTCATCACCCACGAGAATTGCATGCTTTAGCCCTGGGAGTTGAAGTAGTAGAATAGATTCACATTCTGTCAACTGAGAAGCTTCATCAATGACCAATAAATTGAATGGTCTCATCTTGACTAGGTCCATCTTGAAGGAGCTTGATGAGGTGCAGAAAACTAAGGATGGTAACTCTAAACAGAACTCCGTCATTTCTGCTCTACTCAAGGAACTGGGAAGATGAAGTAGAGAATGCAGAAGGGTTTTCAGAAGGGAGAGGCACTGGTTTTTTAAGCAAACCAAGGAAGACGTATCTACATATGACTCAGATAAAACTTCAGAATTCTCTTGTTCATAAACGATATCCTTCAGCTCTTCAGACATCACACTCTTCACAAATAAAGTTTCTGAAAGAGCATCTAGGTGGCACATCAGAGAAGTGATAGCTCGGAAATTGTTTTCTTGTATGAATTGTGTTGGCATATGAGTACACATTATTAACATGCATCTTCTGAGATGTGAAACAACTTGCTCAAACCGCGATTTAAAAGCAGCAAAGGATATCGGTTTTGCACTGTCCTTCGTCATTTCATACTCTGGAAGAGCGACCTGAAGAAAACATATTGCAGATTCAATGCAGTGTCTCCAACCTGTCAAAGGCTCCAAACACTCAAGAAGCCTGTCGATTCGATGGTTTAGGTACATCTCCTCAATGTCTTCCCCCAACTTCATTCTAGGGTTATCTCCAAATAGCAGCACATCACCCAATGGAAACAGGTTCTGCTTTAAAGATTTGTCTAAGTAAGACTTCTTTACAAGCTTTATTACCCTGGCGGCAACTTGTGTTATAGCCTCATTTGTAGGTGCACAAATAAGTGTTCTGCACTTTTTTTTCAAGAGCAGAAACAGAAGCTCACTAATAGTAGTTGTCTTCCCGGTTCCAGGAGGGCCCCATATAAGATCAACGTGAGACATATGATCACAATTCACCCTTTCCAGACAGGTAACTACTGCATTGGCTTGTGACTCATTCAGCTTGGACAGGAAGTCATCCTTTATCTTCTCAGTTGATGCTGATCCATTGCCGCCATGCGGACAGCAGGTATAACACTTCTTATCAGACTTCACAATGTGACGAAGAAAGGTTAATCATCAGTATCATACATAAAATAGCAAGATTTCGATAAGAGATAATTTGGAAATATGATCATTATTGAATTCAAAGTAGTCTAATAGGGCAGGGAAAGAGTGCTGTGGCACTGGGCCTCATAATTTAAAAGACATGCATTTTGACAAATAGAGTCCACATACAGACATACTAGTGAAAAAGCTTTTTTCTAAATCATTTTAGTGTTTATTTTGTATGAATATGAACATATGCTTACATTTAATTAATATGTAATTCTACAATAGAATTGTTCATAATTTTTACAACAGAAGGCAGACTCTTAAAAGTTCAACACAGCCTGTCTGCCTGTGTTGAAGTAGAATCAAAGGCAGTTAAAAGATCACTAAACAAACAACAATATTACGCACCTCAGTTTTTTTATTCAAAATGGCGTCAAGAATGTTGATGTTCTTGGTCTGCTGTATTGACTCGGATATTGTAGAAGTCAGGTTCATTCTGAAAGCATTCCAAATCATTTTACTTGATGTGAAGTTTACCAAGAAAACAATATGGACTGTTGTATGGCGTCCAATTCTGGTGTCAAAATCCTTGGCCATTTTCACTTTAAAATTTGTGGATAAATATCCATCACCATCTGTGACATTAACTACTGAAGCTAGAGTCCAATCCCACCCGACCCGGTTCAAATCTGAAACCGTCTCAAGTTTAGTAACTGAGATTATTACCAAGTCACCTGGCAATGTTCTGTACTCCTCTCCATCACTCACTCTTGTCTTCCAAAAGTCAACCTTGACTTTATAATGAATAACCTTCCCAGGTCCATTAACCAGTTCAAACGAGGCCACTTCAGCAAATGGCGCTTTGTCTATTGCTTCCATGGAAGAAGCAACAGTTGCCCGGGTTTCTTCCAATAACGGAAATGCGTAACTGGATAGATAATGGTCCCTTGAATGGAATGCGTCAGGAATCTTCTGAACCTGGCAAGAGGAAAGAGTGAAAGGAAAAAATGAAGATGAAGGAACATATAGAAATCCAACGATGATAACATAGAAATATGATGATAACCTGATCTTTGTAGAGATTGTCATTAAAAATGTCATGAATTGACCACGAGAGGACTATATCATGTAGCTCTATAGCAGTGAGGTCATTCTTTGGCTGACACTCCATATTTACTGTGGAAGAAGCCCCTCCCATATCAGTGAGGCCATGGCTTGGTTGCCAATCCCTTTTTGTGGTAGAGGAAGAAGCCCCTCCCATATCAGTGAGGCCATGGCTTGGTTGCCAATCCCTTTTTGTGGTACAGGAAGAAGCCCCTCCCATATCAGTGAGGTCATTGTTTGGTTGCCAATCCCTTTTTGTGGTGGAGGTAGAAGCCCCTCCCATATCAGTGAGGTCCTTGTTTGGTAAACACTCCATATTTACTGTGGAAGAAGCCCCTCCCATATCAGTGAGGTCATTGTTCTGTTGCCACTCCCTTTTCACGGTGGAGGAAGAAGCCTCTCCCGTATCAGCAAGGTCATTGTTTGGTCGCCACTCTGTATTTTTGGTAGAGGAAGATGCCCCTCCCATTTCTGCTTACCAAAATCACAGTGGCAGTCAGTGCGTGCAAAGAATGCAAAGTTGATCAACTGTTACAAGAAAACAGAACAAGTGCATGAAAGGTGGTGTTTTTATGATCAACTCCAAAATAAGTGCATGAGCGAGAAAAACATAAGCCACTGGACTAACAATGGATACAAGGATGGAAAATGTTGGAAATAGTGTATGAGAAATGGGTCGGTGAAGATGAAGGAAGATGAGAAATGGGTCAGTGGAAATGATCGTTTCCCATTCCTAATGATGAAAACTGACCTCCACGCAGCTCGAGACTACAGTGTGAGCTTGCTAGTAAGCTTTAACCCCAACATTAATTAATGTTTTTTTTACATTAACCTCAACAAAGTGACAAACACATTTTTTAAAAAAGATTACTACTAGTATTTGTTTTAGAGCATCCACATTTATGATCTTCAACTTTACAGTTTTTCATGATTTATTATTGTTATGTCACATCTACATAAGATATTCTCAAATAATCTCCAAACCAATAAATTTCTCCTCATTCATGATCTTAATTTACCTTGGATAGGAGCATGAGCATGCACGATCTACAAAGCTAATCATCACCATAATTATGAGTATATGCCTAGAAGTTGGAAATAATCTCAACATAATCTAGCTTTAGAATTTGATACCAGATTATTTTATCAAATAATCTCAGAAAATAATCTCAACTCATCATCCATGATCCCCAAAAAAATCTTCTACATCATCAAAATGTTCTCAAAAATAATCTATGGATGTGGATGCCCCTAGGATACTTCTTTCGTTTTAATTTCTGTAATAAATTTACTATTCATTTTTAATTTTAAATGACAGAGGTTTTTTTACATACTCCCTGTATACAGTAATACGATATTATTATAACATAATGTTTTAAGGATATTAACTAACATGTTATAAAATATTAATATAGTTTGTAGTAAAACCGAATATTAAAGTTACTTTAATTTAATTGGAAAAACAAATTGTTAATTGTTATTTATAGCCAAATGTGTTGTACTCTGCGGTCTCTGCCATTCATTTAGGACATCTCATGTAAGTGGCTAAGATGCAAAGTTTTGATTTACTTATCATTTTGGTAAGATAACTCCCAAATTTATACCAGCATGGTCATTGTTATCGACGTTACCCACATCGCGAGAAACAACAATCATCTCATGTCTCCCCCTTCATAATGAATTCCCGATTCTTTTATAATATTTCATCCCTAATGACAAACAATGGGGAAGTTTGAAGCGTTCATATTCTATCAAAAATTCATTCTAAAAACTATGACTTATGCCGCACATTAAAAATGACAACAGAATGTGAAATTTTAAGGTAATCATAGTTACTGGAAATTTTTTAATCACATTTTTATCAACTATGTGTTTGTGTCATATATTAGGCATTATATTATATCTTAGAAATATACTTTAAAATACCTTAGTCCCATATAAAGTTCTCGTTCATCATTACGTGGTTAACATAAATTGTTCTTACTTTTTTTAATCACATTTTTATCAACTATGTGTTTGTGTCATATATTAGACATATATTATATCCAAAATTTATTAAACTTGATTTTTTACGACTACAAATTTTTAATGTAGTTTCTGGATATATAAATTTTATTTAATAAAATTAATTTTATTAATAACGGAGAACAATTAACTTTATGTCTTGTCAAATATCGTAAATTGAACATGAACCTTACCCGATACGGGGTAACAACTAGTTTTATTTCGGTTTCGTGATTCCCATCATTCCGCAGGGGTTATTATGATTTACAAGGTTTAATCAAAATAATTCACATGACTTAGTAAATAATTTAGTATTGATAATTAAAATTTATGCGGCTATATATTTAAAATGCACTAAAAGCTATATTAAAATATAAATATTGAATATGAATATGATAAAAGTTAATAAGAACTATATTGACTAACACGAAGTATATATGGAGTATATGACTAACCAACATGTATGATGTATCTTCTTTATTTTTATTCATAACTTATAACAAGCTCTCTCAACTACCAACTAAAATTAACTAGGGTAAATTTCAAAAGGGAAAAAAGACAACAGTAATCTCATCTTTGATCGGACTGCTCATAATAATTTTACCTTTACGTAATCCCAGAATAATTCTATATTTGCATTTCATCTTCTCCCATTGGACTCTAACCGCCGGTTGATGACACTATACAAGGTTTTTTGTACTTTCTATGAAAATCTTCCATACATAACCTCACCTTTCACAAATCTGCTCAAAACAGCCCCGCATTTCACTTTTTTTCATCTTATTATTTCATTTATTCAATCTGTTTATGTTTTTGCTTTTTTTTCTCAACAGTTTTTTTCATTCTTATTCTTGTTCCCCATTTTTACTTCTTCCCCTTTTTATGTATTACTATTCGGGGTGCAGGTGTGTGTTTGTAGTTTGTAACTTTCCAACGAATAACTTTAAATCTATTTTTTTAGGGCAGCGCCGCTAGGTAGTTTTTCCGAATTCGATTTCTACAATCGAAGATTGGCTATAGGGTTTTGTCTTCTTCTTGCTTCGTCTTCAAGCATCGAAGGTTTCAGGTGACTAACTGCGACTCTGCGGTTCGGTCGGGGTGAAAGTTTGGTGCTGATTTTTGTTTCGGTTTCAATTGGGGCAGAGCGACGAGGTGATTTTGGATCGTGATTTTGCTTGGGTTATGGACTCCTCGCTTGTGCCACAGGTTTCGATTGGGAAGGTAAGCATAGATTCCGGGTTCATTCGGGCTATAATCATAGGGATTAAGAAGATATCAGTGGAAATTGTGGTGGTGAATTTGCAAGGAATGTTTCAAGATGAAGGGTTGATGATCCGTCCCCCTCCTGAGCCACCGCCGAGGATGATGTTGTCATGTCAGTTTATTTTATTTATTTTCGTTTTACTCCACGGTCAGACTATTATGTTTTGTTTTTACTCTTTTTTCTACTGTAAAACTCTTGCATTAGGTTTGGGGTTGAGTTTATGGTAATCATCGTTAGCTTTAATTTGCCCAAGTTAGGTCTAGCGAGTTATATTGCTTTGTCAAAGGTGATTAACTCAGAGTCTCGGCCAAGGGCGGATGGTTACATGCGGTTTTTTCACGTTCATGTACCCCTGCTGAATGCTATTTTAATGATATAAGCGCCTTACGATAGAAAAAATGTATTACTATTTAGTTAATTACCATTTAAAGGCTATTATACCACATTACTCGTTATTATTATTATTATTATTTTTAAAATTCTCCTTTCCTTCTTTTTTTTCTTTTGACCTACATAGAAAGTATTTGTTTTTTTATTTGTCCCTTTTCAACTCTTCCATTTTCATTTGATTTTGACTACATGTTAGTGAATATTGACGATTTCTTGATCTAGGTTTTTCTTATTTATTCCCCTTTTCAGATAATGTTTCTCACATCTATCCTTCTCGTGTAAAGAGTATTTGTATTTTTTTCTTTCTTACAATATTTCCCGGATTGTTTTATTTTTCTTTAAATTTTGTTTTTCCCTAATCTTTTTATCACAAGGATTGTTTCTAATAGTTGATGAAATTTATGAGGGAACTTAGAAAAATACGATAATGTAGAAAAGTAGAAAAATATATATTGATGGTGGAAATAAGGTAACAAGAAAAAAGGAAAGAAGAAGAAGAAACACAACAAAGTAACAAGAAGAAAAGGGGAAATTGAAAATAAAAAGTAAATATAACCAAAAATAAAGTGAGAAAAGATCGTTAATAAAAAGAGAATGATTAACAAAGAAACACATGAAAAAGAATATGAAATAAAAATACGGGAATAAAAAATGACAAAAATCTGCCTGAAAAGAAATTTTACAAAAAAACTCTTATAATAGAGTGAGAATTAAAATAGTAAATATGGAAAAGAAATAAAAACAAAAGGATGAAAAAAGGATTAAAAAAGTGTCTAGGGATAAAAATAAAGAGAGACAATTTTTTGGGTGAAAAAATAAAAAATAAAACATGGGACTGTTTTGAGCATATTTGTGAAGGATGAGATTATTTATGTAAGATTTTCAAAGAAATTAAAGGACAACAAATCTGGTATAGTAATGAGAGAAGATGAGTTGCAAATGTGAGATTATTCTTGGATTACGTACGCAAAAGTGAGATTATTATGAATAGACCAGTCAAAAGTAAGATTATTGTTGTCAATTTTTCGTTTAAAAAATGAAATAGAATGACAATTTGATAAAACGCATCTCCCTCATTCTCTTTCGCTAATAGTTCTCAAGCCTTCCGTTTTAATCTTCTAAATATTAAATATCCATCAACTATTTGTTTCTGTTTTCATTCCTTTCATGATCTTGAGATCATTTATTAGTTGCTACACTTGAATAAAATGTCGATTTGTTTTGTAGATTTTTTTTTGAATAGATTACAATAACATATCTATATTTATATGCTTTTAGCGAATTTGAGATGTTTTTTGTTATTGTTAATGTTTAAAGAACTTGTAAAATCATTGCATTGAGATGTATGTTGGCAAATATTTTTCTTTAGTAACCAGTAAATATAACTAATTTTATTAACTTGAAGGATAATGTGTTTATTGTGAGTGAACTATAGAATAAAATTTTGTATTGTACTAACATGAATATATTGTTTAAAGCAAGACTACTGTTGAAAAAATGGTTTTGCAAATTAATATTATTTTCATTTTGCAGCTAAAATATGTAAGACCCCATGTCTCTATTTTAATAAGACTAAGAGCATCCGCAATGGAAGCATTTATAGTCTAGATAAATTGTGCCAAATGTCACATTATTAAAAGACTTTCTAGTACACATAATAAATAAACAGATATACACGAAAGATTATCTCTTTAAGGCTTTGCCGCTAGATTCGTTTTTCCCTGTTTTCGTCGTAGATGAAGAACAACTGCCGATTCTAGGCGGAATTTCCGAGGCTGGTTAGCCAGACCAATGTGCTGCGGGATCTAGTTGGCACGTTTGAGGCTTCACTGCATCGATAGAGTCGACCGGCAGGGCGAAAGGTTTTCGAGCAATCTAAGGGAGATCGGATGGATGATATTGTGCACCAATACAGGCAAATGGCTATTGGAGGAGAGGTTACTGAACTGAATTACGACAATGAAGAAGGCGAAGAGGTTGGTGCTGCCGAGAGGAAGGAGGTATTCCCGGCGGTCGGAGTCGTCCTCACTGATCGGAAAATCAAATTTCAAGTTTTCAATGATATGTTGGCTTCAATTTGACGTCCAGGAAAAGGGCTATCCATCAAAGAAAATGCTATGAAAGATATCTATTTACATTTTACCATATTGTGGATATGAATCGTGTTCTTGAGGA